ACTTTTCAAACATTTATTCACTATTTCATATGTCGAGTAATTATTATCAAATTGTGTATTCTTTTTTACTCAATCAAGTTCACAACAATATTTTAATATTATGCCTCGATAGTGGTATTTCCAGGTAATAATGCACTGGAATACGGTATAAAGAGCGACGAAAACAGCAGGCCATAGGTAAAAATATGTACAGCAGTAGAAGCGATGAAGTAATGCAGCGGGAATCATCATTATGCCGACTACTAGTTGACCATGATAAGAACGAATTAAGTACCTGAACGAGTTCATTCTGATTTTTAATATTTATATAAGCGGCAAAAATTAATCATAGTTCTACGACATCCATACTCTCAGGTGTTATTATCTAACTTGATCTTGGTTCTGATCTTTTCTATATTTGAAAGTGTGGCAGTAAAAAATTGAATTTATCTTCAGCATTTACGTTTGTATAAGAAGCATCATATATGAATTTCTTGCTTACGAAGAGAAAAAGGATAATTTTTCATAGTTCAATTTGTATTTTATTTTTTTCTGCACGCAACTGCTTCACTATATAGTTATGTGTTGCGTGTAGACCTCCACTATTTTATAATTTCACGTCAGTGCGGAAGAAATTATTGTAGGAATATAAAATAATTACCCGTTCTCTTCCGCGCTATAGTATGCAAGAGCTGTACAGGTTGCAGTATGCGCCAGTGCAAATCCGCTCAATAAAAAGGATGTCATAAAATTAACTGAACTTGTATGGAAGGTTATATCCAACTTAAGTAGCAGTGAATCGTGAAGTGGTCTTAAGAAGTCGTTGCAAGATTTCTGATAAGTTGATGTACGATATGATAAGCCATAACATAATGCTTGTAACATTGAAATCTGATTTGCTGGAATTATACATAGTTATCTTCTTCCCTCAGTATCAAAGATGAAACGTGATTTGAATGAATGTGCACCTGAAGTATCACGGGCATTATTATCTTCATCTTCCTTTAACATACCATTAACTCCACAAAATGTCTCAGTGATTGATGTTACTAGTAGAATCAGTCCCAAAGCTGCAGAACAACAATGAAGCACAAAGTCCATTCTGCAATGAATTGAAAAGTGTGAATCATTCTTCTAGTGATGATCAAAAAGAAATAATAATTAAAAAGATAAACATTGTTCTAATTACTACTCCGCGTATTTTCTTAATTAATTTGCAATTTTCTATGGAAATAAATAATGAACAGTTAACAGTTAGGGTGACAGTAACATTGAAATTAAAATTGAAGACTTGTCATTATTAAGGAATTTTATTGCATTCCGTAAAAATGCTTTACCGAAATGCCTTGCTTCAATTTGCTTTTGCTTTCAGTTCTCTTTGGGAAAAAAAGTTTGTGAAAAAAGCACAAGAGGTATTGCTATTGACTGTAGTAACTCTAAAAGTATCTATCTATCAGTACAAATATCAAACAAACATTTAATTGTAAGCAAGTTTTTCCCTTAAGTAGCACTAGCAATTATTGTTCTAGATAATCTAGTATCTTCTAGCTTAAATCTTCTAGCACTAGTAGAAATTAGATATGTTAAACATTTAAATAATCGAAGAAATATTTCATATCTGAGCTAGCAATTATCAGCTGCAAACAAGACTATTAATCTTTTTATTTCCATATATTTTATTTCTCTCTTCATCCTATCGATTGAAATTTATGGGGAAACAACTAAAGTGTTAAAAAAAAATTTGAAAAAGATGACGAAACCTGTTTGGAAAATGAAGAAAAAGGGCATGAAAAGCGGTGATAAAAGCAAAAACAGCAGTAGTGATGGGTATCAGAAATGGATAGAATGGTAAGCAAAATAGCAGATGATTGATACCAAGCCAAAATTCACACTGAAATTATTCAGGAATTAATGAATTTTAAGACTTTCAAGATATTTCAAGAATTTTAAAAATTACTACATTTTTTCGAAATAATTAAATCACTTTGTCGAAAATTTTTTGAAGAGTGAAAAGTAATTGTTATATGAGCAGATGAGATGATGGATTAAAGGAATTTCAGGAATTGCTATAGGAAGGAAGGTTTCTGGCTAACTGTAATCGCAGTCACCGGTAGTAAAACTATTATCTACTTTCCAATATTTTTTGTTTGAACAAAATATTTCTAAAAAAAGAAAAAGCAACTTACAAATGCCACAATAACAAGAAGCGGATTTAGTGACCAACGAAAACCGTTCCGACTATACACTGCCATCCTTACTTTACACGATTTTAGAAATATTGTCAAATAGTAAATAAGAATATCGCGAATGACATTGCCGAAAAAGCATTAACATTCTTTTTTTCTGGAATAAGCAATGCTTAAAACTCTAATTGCACTTCATCTTTGAATTAAGATAACAAAAAAGTCAATTGATTTATTAAGAACAATGATGGAAAGAGCCCCAGCTTTAATTGTTCGGATATGAGTTGCATAACAAAATGCGAATCAAATTTTAAAAATTAAAAAAGGTCCATAAGATTTAGAAATGATAAAATGAGTTGTTTCCAACAAATATAAGTCTTAACAACAAATCTGGATTTTTGAAAATGATACTTGGAAGTCGTAAAGTAAGGAACCGTAAAATATCGCTATTCGATTACTAAAATTAAGTAGCAGAAATTGATAACATTGAATTAATTTTAGAAACTATGTTTTTAAATTATTTTAAAATGTTTTTTATATTTGCGCTTAGAAGAAAATTGTGATGGGCTGTTCAGAAGAATTTTCTCAATGGATTAAATTTCAAATCTGTAAGATTGCAAGAGAGTACTACACTTAATTTGAAGAAATAATCTAGCCGATAAGCATTGTAGCTATTGAGTGAGTTGTCTTTCACATAGGCAGATAAAATGCTAAATAAGTAAAAACGAATTTCTACTGCTAGGCCAACTGCTCGCTTCTTCTGATAATTGAGTTGGGCCAACCAAACTAGGCATGCTTGCTTGCAAGGATGAATGCCTTTCCATTAGTGAATGCAACATAATTCTTAGTTCATCAATGAAACTACTACTACTATTCGTTTGTGGCCAGAAATAATGATGAAGACAAACGGCAAAATACAGCACATTCAGTGGCACAAAAAATAAAGTTGGAATTGGTCCAAGTGCCAATAGACTCTCAAATTCAGATGAAAAGTGAGAAGAATCACATTTATCGGCAGCAATAACTGAGATCACAAAAAATTAGCAATTTTTTGAGATTTGATAAATGAGGTCTGAAAAGACAGCACTGCCTGTGGTACTTCCAGTAGTTCCCTCGAGATGTAAATCATTTAATGTGTACTTCCTTTGTAATGTGAAAGCTACATTAGAGTCAACTAACTTTGACTCAACTGTGTACTTCCAATTGCAAAAATGGTTGCTATTAATATACCTTATTTTTCATTCACATTTTATTCGTAAGATATCAGTGATCTGTAATTTTTTCTGGCAGTATACTTAAATTCTCAAAAATTTTCCGATTTTTTACTTCTCATTTTCATCTAAATTGGATTCACGATCGATATTTTTTAATTCGATTAACGCTATCTTAATAGATTTGTCAATATAAGAATATTTGGCCATTTGTCTTATCAAAATGTTATGTCCAATACATTTTTGCTCTATTCGAAATGTCATACGTAATTAGCAATCCCAGTTAAAGTTGCCGTAGCAAATTTTCAACATCACAATTTCAAAAACTGTCTTAACATTTTTTTTTTTTCAAGTAAAAGAGTATCATATAAAAAAAATTCTTACAATTCCAAATCATCAAAAATCATTTTTTGACAATTATTTAATCTCTTAAAATCGTCTCATAATGCGCGAAATCGAGCTGCAAACTGTTGGTTTTCGTAATGTCATCGTAAAAAGTAGAGATAAAGATAGAATGGGAAATGTTTACAGATGGAATAGATTCAATGTACAGTTCTACTTCATCATCTCTTGTAGCTACTGTGGTTGTTTACCTTCCACAACACTGTCATTTGAGATGAAGATCAATTGAGAACAATTTTTCACATCTGTCATCATTTTTAGATATGTAGGCACAAAGGTCAATATCAATTATATTTTCTTTCAGCTTATTTTAAGTCTTCAAGAATTGATTGAAATTTTCTAATTGTTCTTTTTCGAAATTTATCTTAACTCATATCAATCTTAATTGTCAGTGATGAGCTATTATAGCTACCAGGACTATTCGATCATGCATATTTACAAGCTGAGAAGTAGATCAAACTAAGAATTAAACTCAAGTTTTGAACTGTCATTCTATTTGTTAAATGGTCTTGATTAAATGACTTAAAAAATTGATCTAACATCTCACCTCATTTACCATCTAAAAGAATACACTGCATTTTGTTTTATCATCAATCGAATAGATTGTACAAACATACATAAGTTTGAACTGGACAATTTATACGAAGAAAATGCAAAGTCTGAAGATTGCAATATAGCGGGAAAATGTCACTTGAACAAATCATTCATTTGTTGTTCAGTTTACTGTCTCCTTCCTCAAGTTTACTTAAAGAGACGAAGCGATATCCCAAACAGACAGATTTCGAAAGATAATATAGATGAAGAGTATGAGACAAATACCGTGTATCGACATCCAATGACAAATGATAAAAACTCGAAAGGGGGCGGACAAATTTAATTTACCTGAACTCTGTATAGATTTGCAATGGAATAAAGAAGAAGTTATGGAGCTGATCGCCAATGATTGCTACATTTCATCGAATACTGGGTGTGCTAAGTGGTAGTGGAGAATTTTCTCAATTTTCTCCAGTATGTTTGAAAAGTACTGGTTAAACAGTACTTTTCGATAAATGGATCTATGATTCATACACCACTTCAGATAGTTCTACAAAATTGAGCTAACCCAACAACCATCTGTTATATGCTTATCAGTTAACAAGCAGATACTGTTTCAAAATTCACTTTTTCACAATTCTTTTTTTCCATTAACAAAAACAGTATCAAAAAAGTTTCTACTTACAAATATATGTTTCCACTGAACGCTGCTGCATTTGCAGCCGCCCATGCGGCTGCTACTACTTCCGGAACAACAGCGACAGTAATTGCTGGATTATCAGGATCAAACTCTAATTCATTAGGAGCATCACATTGTCTGCCTACTACTACTGTTACTACCGCTATTGGCACTCCAACAACAGCTGGTTTCATCAATAACAAGTAAGTTAAAATATTTTTGATATAAATATATCAAAAAAAAAGCAACGAAAAATAACTAAAACAACAGACTAAATGAGATTTTATACTAAGTTGAAGCAATACTACGTGTATATTTTTTTATGCAAAATATCTCGTATATTTTTAGTATATTTATGCAAAATATCTCAAACAGAGAATCTAACAAAACTATGTTGAATAAGTTTCTTTCTAATAGCTGAAGTGCTGAAAAGGTATGTATAAAAGTAGCACTAATGTAATATCAGATAGCAGGCGCTGTTGACAGAAGAAGAGAGAGGATGGGAATAAATTGGGATAAAGATTGTTTCGCAAATTAGATGATTACTTTCTAGAACAACTCAATGAATTAATCGTAAACAGAACTACTGTTCTATCTCAACAGATCACTTCAGGATAAAACTTACTAACATTTTCATTCAACAAAGTCGATTCCAGTAGTTTCGAAATAAATTTTTCATTTGTTAACCTTAAAAACGAAATATCTTTTATCTATTAAAACGAGACTATTTTTCACTGTTGCTTCATTAAGCGAAAGTTTTTTTAATGACAAATATTGAATGATTCTTAGGCTTTTCACGAATTGCACATAATGTAGTACTAAATCCACTTTTTGAAAAGTTTGCTTCTGCAGATGTGATATACTTGATGGTGGTACAGGAGTAGGTAACTGTTGCAACTATCCCTCATCATCCTGGACTGATCACTTACCGTTACTTGGCGGTGAGCTTTCCTCTTTTAACTTCTATTTATTCATTGGTATGAGATTAGTTTAGTAGTTTATAAGCTTTTATGAAGATTTTTTATATTACAAACGAACACAGTCAGAACAAATGCATTTGATCGCCATTATTTAAAATTTTTCAACTTTTATAGACAAAATATTTTTCCAACTGAATATGTTGCATAAATTTGACGATTATCGATATGTTAAACTACTTAATTTGAAATACAGTCATCATTCAGGACACCACCGAGCTTCACCAACATTTGATGCTTCGTATTCACCATGTGCCACTTCCTATGCAATGTATGATCAGACCGCATTCAGTACACATCAGTCTTATCTTACATCATCTGCTGTTCCTCTCGGGTTTGTTATCACTTCTTTTATAAATTTAATTATCACTCAAAATAAAACATTTATTCCTGAAATTATGGATTCATTGTACATTTTTTCAGAATTTTTATCTCGTTGTTTAGGTTTGAAATAATAAATGCAGCAGTTGCTGGTTGTAGTCAAGTTGAAAAAAATCTGGAACCATCATTACTACCTACTTCATTACAATGTAACAAATCCGAAAATGAAGAAGATATTAATGATGCCAGTATAACCAGGTACTTTCTCATATTGTCTGTTAAAATTAGCATTTAAAAAATTTCAATTTACTTTTACTGGTTTCTTCCATACAGCATGTTGTGATTATCGGAAAGGTGACTAATGTAAGTAGTGAAGTAGATGGAATGAACATTGAAAATTTATATGATATCGTTGAAATAATTAATTAATACTGCTTTAGTAGAGGGGCAAGTGAAGACATTACCGATGTTCTCAATGAAAACGATACAGTTAATGAGGATGAAGGTGGACATTTCGCTCTTAATTTGAATTTAACAATTCTCACTGATCAATTACAAATTATATTCTATTATTTTACATACATAAAAATGCTTCTCTAAAACAAAGAAAATGTGAAGAAAGAAGTTTCTTGAAAATCTTCTCCTCCACATTTCCTAATTTGCTTTTTATTGAAGAAAGCGGGAAAAAGAAACGGCGTAAACGACGGGTCTTATTCACAAAATTGCAAACTTTTGAACTTGAAAGGAGATTCCGCACACAGAGGTATCTTTCGGCACCTGAACGTGAACAGCTTGCTATGCAAATCCGGTTGACACCTACACAAGTAAAAATTTGGTTCCAGAACCACAGGTATTTATCAAATCTTATGCATCAAATATTTATAGTTTAATAAAATTTCTAGAAAATTCCGCGCTTTAGTATGAATTCAAAGTCCAATTTCATTTCCTCACTTTGAATTGATGCCTTTTTTGTAAAGAAAAGATGTTATGTTATTTAATTTATCTAAGATGTGACGTTCTTTGATCTTTTCATTTATAAACATACTAACTCACACCTTTCAATTCAAATTAGAAGATTTATTCATATGCAAAGCTCTAAAGCCTTCCAAAAATCTTCCACTATTCAGGTACAAAACGAAGAAGACCTATCAGGATAAGAGAGTAACTGGTAATCTGTCACAGCCAATGCCATCTATTAACTTTTCTCAATCAAAACGCATCCCGGTACAAATGCTGGTGCATGATGGAAAACCATGCCCTACGGATTTTGTTACCGGTACTTACCCAGCATCAAATACTCTTCCGGATCCATTCACACCAAATGGCAGCTATTTCACACCTACCACTTCTATTTTGCCTTCTAATTCACATTATTACATGCCAAATAGATGGACTTGGTAATTGAATGGAAGTTGTACATTAACTACCATTTAAAATTCTAAGAAGATCACTGTCACTTTAGGTAATCTTTGAAAGAAAATAGAAAGTGCATCGCAACTCATCCCTTTTATCTTTTATAAAAATATTTATAAAAGAAAAGATATTCTGGACTTATTAGTCCATCTCAATATATTTATGAAATGATTGCTTAAGAACATTTAATTTCTGCAGTTCTATGTCAGAAAATATTACGACCATAAGATCGCAATCATTTTGCCATTTCACAATAATTATTAACGGCAATATATACTTTATTTATTAAAACTGCTTATAATTTTTAAAGATCATGATGTTTATAATTCTCCAAGCTAAACGAATTAATTAACAATACTTAAACGAGATCAAATCATAAGTGCTTTCAAGTGGTTTTTTTTTAATATTAGTTTATGTTGGTCTACAGAATTTTTTTTTTGTTTATTTTAACTTAATTACTTTTTATAAAACTGCATATAAAACAGAGAAAATAACATCGAAATTATGGAGAAAAAGGACATTCAACATGTCTTTATTTACCTGACCCCATTCCGTCAACTTAATCAACCTTGCAATCTTTTTCTCCATTGCCAAATAACTCTTCAAATATATTTGCTCTCAAGAAACCAGCTCATATATATATTATTATTATTATTCTCCCTATTCCTCCCCAATGACATAGGTTAATGTGAAATAGAAAAGTTTCTGGTAAATTGATTTATGTAAATAACAATTAAAAATAACAATAAATATCAATGTGCAAATCATATGCGATAGAAACATCAGTCCATAATTACGGGCCATGAAGCACAGAGATGGCTTTTCTCAATCTCTGAAATTATGAAAATATCTACGCAAATTTGATTTAAATATAAAACACTCTGTTGCATTCATATTTCGACAATTCAAATGCATTTCACACATTCAAATAACATACTACCTGCTCCATTCGTATTTCAATTTCATGTTTTAGCAACTCGAAATTTTCGTCAATTTCCTTCAGTCTTTTTTCTTTTGATTTATTTAACCTTCTTTGCTCTTCTACGCCAAGTTTCACATATTTTCCTCGCAATTCTTCTGTCCTGAAAATCATTTCCTCAAAATAAAGCAAACTATTAGAGCATAAGATATTTTGGAAATTCAAATAAATTAAGGTAATATTTTAAAATTTTATGAGAGTTAGAGTTATATCATTTTACCGGTGCAATATATCCGAGTAAAATTATGTTAATGCAGCTATTCAAGCAAAATTTACATTTACTGACGAAACAAACAATAATAAACACAGTATAATTAAAAAATATCTGTAAAGGTATGAAAGAGAAATGATGTAACTCATTTAAAGGTAACTATTGTTTACATTGGTGACATACCCCTCCGTTCGTGTTGCACTCCATTGTTCGGCGTAGCGCTTTTGATGATTTAATCTGGTCAGTTGTTTCGACTCACTGAAACAAAAGTAATTAAAATCATAAAATCATCTTGAATCATTCAAAGAATTCATTTCTCGATAATCTTTTTTAAAAAAGTTTTACTTTACCAGTGAATCGCTCAACGACCCATAAATTCATACCTTTTCGACCCCTCTTCTAAAAAATATAAATCATAGTACCTTAAACAATGAAAGATTTTTTTTTGATTAAAAATTTTAATACGATTCTTAAAGCGATATTAAGCTACAGTTCATTCATTATTTCATTTATTGTTTTATTATTAAATGGACATACTATTTGTACGCCATATCAAGTCGTTTAATGAGTTTCTTCCTGTTCTGTTCAGCCAGTGATATAATAAGTTCTGTTCTCTGAACACAATTTATGTCTTAAGTAATTCAAATTGCAAGATACAACAGATAATTATGACCGTTCCTTCAAAATCCTCTGTTTTTTATTTAATTTAATTCAAAAAATATGTTATTTCAAAAACGACTAACCTCCTTTTCATACTTAGCATAAATAACAAAAGTATCCTCATGAACATTTCTCATAGCAGAGGATATTGGTCTAAAATGATTTTACTTCATAAATGTGAGAGATAAATTACTTTATAATTTCTAATTTTCAAATTTCGAAAAATGATTTATAAAATGATGAAATTGAAATCATTTTTTCATCCCTCTCTTCCAGATTATTCTTTATTAACGCAAAGATACTTTTGCTTAGAGGAGCCATCAAGTAGATTTAGGATAGTTTCATATTTCTTCTTGAAATTCTTTTCCAACTTTACGACTTTTCGACTGCTGGCTAATTCATCTTCGCTTAAAAATCTGATTTCCATATCATCCAAATAAAAACGCTCTTTCAGTTTTTCTACAATTTAACAAATTACAGAAATTAAGTACAATAAGACGATATTAAATTTGGTACGGATAACATTTTAGGTTTAGTTCCACTAGAAAGTTAATAAAAAATAAGACAAGTTTGGGGCTTAACTTAGCTACTAACTATGCAACTATAGTGAATAGATATGTCTGGCATGTTCCCAAAGAGATGAAAACTTGAGGAAACCATCAATTATCTGCACATTCCACACACAACGTCTTCTGTATGCCAAGTATTAGTCTCTTGCATGAATCCCATAGCACCAGTTATTTAACGAATCATTTTAATTAATTCATTGTCGTGGAAAACAAAAACTTACAATTTTTTTTTTTTTCTCTAAAAACGAAATAATTGAATATATGTTTACTGTGCGTACCGGACACGTTCCATTTATCGAAATTAAATGATTTCATTCCATCCTCACATATACTCCCTTCCTTTGCCAATTCACTCTCTGCACTTGTGGATCTCATCTAAGAAATTGCTTATGAAAAATCCTTTAATACAAAACAAGAAAACACTGTAGAATAGAATACGGCAGTGATTTCATCAGTTTCATAAAATACTTACTTTTAATAATAAGGCAGCACTATTTCCCAGATTTTGCCCGTGATCCACACTACTGTATTCCTTCCCCTCTTCCAGCACATCCCAAATTGTTGATTCTGTAGATAGCGATTTTGGTTCACTTTCCTCTAACGCCACAAGCATTTTCTCACGCTGTTTCATAGTATCTATGGGATTTATCAATGCTGCAGAAGCTGCTAAAAATTGAAGAATGCGTGATATTTTGATCAGATTTTCAACATTCATTTTTGACTATTTCAAGATGAACCAGTCATTATTAGATGTCAACTATTTTAATCATCTTTGGTGTTTCGCATGTTCAAATAAAAGCAATTGGTTTCAAGAATTCAATATGCATGAATTTAGGCACTATCGACAATAATTACATACCTTCTTCACTTTCCATTATTTTCTTCATAGCCTCGATTGGATTCTGTAGTGTATTTACCAGATCTGCAACGGTAAAGGTATCGCTAATTTCTTCGAATAAATGATTACACTTAAGTTGAAGTTGTAGAAACATTAAACCTTTATATTTAGATTGTGGAAGAAATCTCGAGTGAAAGTTGAGTGTAATTTCAATGTAACACTGAATAAATCTTTTATTTCCGGGAATGATCAGTTACCTTGTCATTAAGCAACTAATAATAAGACCAAATTAAGGAAGCATGGCTGAAGAAAATATGAACAACTCTCAAAAAAAAAATCAAATGAATAAACGTACTAAGGCTTCCGTCGTCGATATAATCATGAACAAGCAATAAAACAAATAGTGATACAGGACCCAGTGGGTGGCTATGAGCATTTCGAAGTGGAATATGCCGAAATCCTGGCTGAATTGAGCGGACCTGAAACTGTTGTGTGATAAATAGACTGATTCTAAAAACCGTAGATAAACTAAATGGAGTGCTATAACATTGAGGAAAATGTCGTTTATGATTACTCAAAACAGCAAGTAAAGTGGCCGAAAAATTCTGGTAGTTAAATAGAGCAGTAATTTGTCAGATATTTTAGGAAAGAAGTAAGAGTAATCTTGCATGCAAGAAGCAATGTCCAATAAGGCGACCACTATCTTCGTATACGGCCAAACGAATTGACGCCATTTCCGGAAATATTATCTGTAAAATACAAACTTATTTTCCTCCCGAACTTGTATAATTACAAAACGTAAACTCTTGGTAGTTTGGTAGCTTACCTTCTCAAATTTAAAACTTTCCTCACAAAAGTCCATATAAACGGGGTTAATCCCGTTATCCATGACAATTCTTGTGCGATATTTTCGTTTAGAAAATCGTGACAAATCGTTAAAATGTCCGTAAAAATTCACTTCTGCATATGTTGAAGGACGCCTCTCGCATGCAAATGATAACATCTGAGCAGAAATCACCTACAAACAGCTGGCATTGATCAGGAAATCAAAAATTCTCGAAGCTTAAGAATAAATCAAAGCTAAAAAGAAAACTAACGGTAACAGAAAGACAGGCGGGTACAACAAGATCCATCGTATGCGTTTCGAATGGATTAAATTTTGCATCGGCTTTACGCATTAGACTTGGTTTGGGGACGTATCCGGAATGGCCATTTTGTTCGAAAAATGCAACATTCATTTGAAAAGGTATATCAGGTGTTTGCATATTTATTGCCGTCATTTGACAACCACAATTCCAAAATTTCTAGAAAAGAAAATCTGCCTTTTTTACAAAAATGTTTCACAATGATTAAAAACATTCAATAAATTAATTCAAAGGCGTTATGACGGAAGCTTACAATAGGCCAAAAATTGCTGGAATCAACACGTTTGCCTTTTGGATAAACACGGGTAATTTGCTTTTTGTTATGATTTACAAATTCGATTGGATTCTCTTTTACCAGTTCATAAGCACGAGATTCGTTCATCGAAAATATTCCATAACTCATCTGTTTGCCTGCAATCTTATCACATGAAAACTAAAATTGAAAGTGATAATAAGTGCGGTTTCTTTTCATCAGAAAACATAGTAACTTAAGTGCATAGAGCCTTCTGAAATTCGATTTCCAAATTAGAATTTTTGAACTATTCGTCTACTTTAGTATAAGTATTGATTTTCAAACTAATGCATAATCGTATCAAATTTACTAAAAAATTGAGAAGTAACTGAAAGAAGAGCATGGAAAAGAAGAAAAGATTGTTGGAATTATCAATTATGAATTATTTCACAACTATACACTGAGAAAAACGGAAAACTTGCTTTCGCATTCTGTAAATGACGTGAACTTGCCCATGGCACGCATATAATTCACAAGGTCTGATAGTTCGCGAGCAATAACCTGCAGTTCCTTGGAGATTATGAGTGATTTGAAATTTAAAAACAAAATTTTTAATCCTGGAAATAATAATAATAACTAACTGAGTTTTGTGAGTTCTCCTGTATATTCGCCTCATTTTGGTGCAAAATATCATCTAAATGTGAAAAATAATGCAACTTGAATAGAGTAACCAAGTTAGATTATAAATCCAATTTGAATTTAATTTAAACTTCACTTCAAGTCTACTCGAGAACTATGTAAAAATATCAAAAAAATAAAAAATGCTCCCGGTAAATTTGAATCCACCTTTTTCACTACTTTCACTTTCACTGGGATCACTTTCCATGACACTTTGTGACGCTGAAACAATCTTTGGAAAGCATAGCGTTCAAATACGGTTTATTTATAGTATACAGAGTAGTAAACAGAGAAATTGATATCACTAGAAGCAAACCTTTGTCATTAACTGTTGAATTAAAATAATTACCGCTTCTGAAGTTATCTGATCACTTAAAGAAGACACTAACGGAAAAAGATTTAAAAACCAATGGAAAAACTTGTTATAAAATTATTTTTAACTTAAACTTAAGCAGCATCATGGAATGATTTTAAAATTTCACTTAATTCAATTTCAGTATGATTAAATTAACAGCATTTTCAGCAATACTTAAGTGATATCATTATACGAGTATTAATAACATAAGTGGATGAAGAAAGCGGTACTTTAAAAAAACTATCGCTCTAAGAATTCTTTAAATGTCCAATTTTAATAATTGAACATTTTATGAGTAGATTTTAACTTACTAATTGATTTGTTAAAAAAATCCTCTGTTTCTCCATTACTGATTTTCTTATTTTTAATCAAAATTTTTTTCCTGAGCGCGTTTGGAGACGGCAGACTCACACCCTGTTTGATCTAAATAACTTTAACAAATTTAGCAGTTCAATAAAATTATCTAATTTTGTCCAGTTTAATTCACACATAAAATTTTATAATATGTTAACTAATATGCTAAAAAATCCTCTAGAAGGATCAATCTACTAAAATTTCTGCATTCTCAATAAATTTTAGAGAAGGAATGCTAAAGGCCTCACCGGATAATTGCTTAACGGTTCGGTAAGTAAAAAATTTCCGAAAATTTCTCGGCAATACAATGCTATTTTCTTTTGTTGCTTCATGGAACAATGATTCTCCAATGATAAAATAACAGGAAATTCAGAAACGACAAAAGCTGTTTCCGCAATTGCCATAATAACATCCTGAAATTCGTCCTCTGAATTAAGTTATACCAAAGGAGAGCAAAGATTACATTCATTAATTTAGATTGGCTTTATTAATTAGAAAGTTTGCAAAACTGTCTAGAGTAGATGAAATCAAAATAACCGCCCATTCAAAAGTCATTCTGAGAGAACGATTCGCATGCACCTTTATCTCTTCCACTGATAATTTTTTTAATGGAAAATACTGCTATTTACTTGGTTCATGTCTTATGGAGGTGTAGGAATGTCTTAATTTTAAAATTAATTAACAGGTGAAGAGTAAACCTTAAATAATACAGGAGTAACTCTGGTGAGCTGCGAAGGCCCGTGTGTGATAATTGGTTCACCACCTGATCCATCCCAACAGTCAAGTTCAATAGAACGACATCCAGACAGTAACACATAACGATACATTTCCACAGAACTTTTGGAATTCACTTGGTAACCTATGTAAATTCTCTTTTAAAAAATTACTTCTATCTATTATTAAGTAATAAAGTTTAATTTTTTATTGTATTGATTCAGTGCTGGTTACTTATTAAATAGTGATAATCTATTAAACTGAGAGGCAAAATAAATTTTTTATTTAAAAAATTATATTCTTGGGTAAATTCTCAAAAATTTTTGAAAACTCCACAATATAGAGCCATCGAAAACAATACAAAGTGATTTTCTTATCTAAAAAAAGCATCGCATATTAGCAAATCAGCCTCATTCTTTCTCTTTATTAATAGAGAAAGAGAACTTTACTACTGCTTTATTCTTGTGGTTAGTTCGATATTACAGTGAATGTTACCTCTCAAATATGTATTATGTGAACTGTTGATGAAATAATGCGAAAGTGGCTTATGCATGTTTTCTTCTTTTAGCATCAGATGGTCCCGGTGCATACCGATGTTGTACTCACTTAGCAGAAATCTCAGGAATGATTCTTTCGTCAGTTGCTTCACTTGTTCCTCTATATTTAGGAGAATCAGTAAAGAGATACAAGAGGGATTTAAATTCAACAATTCAAAAAAACAATAAAGTTAGAAAGTGAAAAAAGGATGCAAATGCCTATACCACTCCCATTCATTTCGTTAATTAAACATTGAGCAATTTGTGAAGTGGGAGAGGGATAAAGCAATTCATTGAGCCTTGGATCGTAATGTTCTTCCTTGAGATATTTTGCAAAATGTTCTGCATCAACCTTTTCTTTTCCCGCAAATCTGAAATTATAGTTTCGAAAAACTGCCACTAATTATCGCTCACCTTATTCAGGAAAAACCTGGAAAGATAAAGACTTCCCAAATTTTCTCTAACACTTTTCTTTCTTTTCTACTGTCTTTTTGTTTGAGACCAACTTAGATTCTGAAATAAAAAGTTCAAATTTTACTCTTCAAGCATTAAATGGCTTGCTAGTCCGTGTTATCCTTCACTTTTCCTACCAAGTTATAAAGAAAATTTTGACTAGAACAAACTGATCATGCCTATGTATTTCGCAACGTAAGTTTGATAAACAGTAACTTAGTAAGCTTACTTTTTGTGAAATATGTAATCCACGTCAGTTCGTCCACAAATACAACAATAGCAGGAGAAGATGAAATCATTTGTTATTTCATTCACTGAAATCGCTTCCTAAATTTGTTCCTTGCAGTTACAAACATAGAAAATTTCTAATTATCCTCTTTAACCACTTTTCTTTCCCTACGCAGCAAACTAATATGCAATGAACTGATAATTCAACTGATATCCAAACTTTCGACAAGAACAAAAATAGGCACAACCTTACTATGAAAAGCGGGAAGCGTTTTCAAAGACCTTTCAATGTCTTTTCGATCTTCTTTATTTTTTGTGAATAGAACGGCATCCAATATACTGCAAACTTATTTCAGTTATATTTTATTTCTAATATATCTATAATTCATCATTAGTAATAGAACCTTAAATGATTTCTCGAAATGTAACTCAAGAAAAACCTCACAATACCGAACAAATGTAAAATGCAGCAGAAATTTTTGAAAATCAGTCTTGCTGTCAATTAATCTGAATTAATTCAGGTCGAGATAGATGTAAAATATAATACTTAGGCTACAGTCCTACAAATATACATAAATCGGACTCGTGCTATACAGAATATCATTTTACATTAAAGTATTTCGTCCATTACAATAAATAGGACTTCCAGGTGTAACTTTAAGTTATATTCACCTGCTGACATAACAGATCGACAATTTATGATTTTAACTACTTTTCAGTTCATTTTATTGGCGCAATGAAATTTAGAAAATCGCCTTCATATTTTTTTTTTTCTTTTTTTCAAACGGAATATCTGCATTCATCAACTTCAGAAGGATGGAAAAGAGAAAATGCGGTACCCACTTTACCCTTCATTTTCCTTTTTAAATAGACTTCAAAGTTTTGTGTTGCAATCGAATGGATGACAGCCGACCGTTACGTATACCACGTGAAATGATATCGTCTACATTATTTGCACATTATTTTCTGATTTCAAAAGGAAAGTTTAAAATATTCATTCATTTCTTCCTATAGTAGAAAATTTTATCTTAGAAATTCTGTAAATAATACGTAAAACTGTTGCCAAATTCAAAAAAGTTTATCGTTTCTTTGTTAGTTATGATTCTATAACTAATTTTTAAAACAGTATGCAATAAGCTCTTCTGATTATTCATGAATAAACTGCTCGTTTTTTAAAACTATTTCTTCGGAATTATCAACGAATTAACTTATGCTGAAAAATACCTTGTTATCAAAAAACCGAGTGATTAAAAATTTATAAGATATGAGGATAAATAAAAACAAACGCATTGATTGAAACTTGGTCGGTGTTTGTGGAATATCTGATTTTGGTGAACAGTCGCTGCCAGTAATAAAAGCAACCTTGAAGTGATAACTCTTTCAATGCTTTCACTGATAACCGACGAATTTCATTAAGCCAACGCTAAAAATTATTTCTCTTTTTTTTTTTTTCGATTAAGCAATAATATCAAATTACTGATAAATAAGCCAGGATGAAAAATTAATGCATTGTTATCACCCTATGATTTACTCAACCTTCTATTTTCGAAAAGTAGTAGGATTTTAGGCTTAATTTCTGATTTGATGTAACAACAGATCAAAATACCGAATAATTCATAAACAAAACTAACCCAAAATCAACCGATTACTGGAAGGAAAAGATAAACAACATTTCCGCACTCTTATTAAAATATCATACTACGACATGTATATCTTGGATAATTAAAAAAAAAAATTAGGCTCCTTTTAAATTAAATATTGATAGTGGCTTTACAACGACATTATGTTCAGAATCGATGAGAAAAATTAGCGCATTCGGAGACACAGCATCGGCACCATACATTACGGTTAGAAAATGAGTTGACAGCATACATTTCTCTGCGACAAAAGTACCACCAAGCGTTTTTTTAATGTAACCATCTAACTGTAAAATCCGTCTGTAAAATTAAAGTAGAACGGTCGGTGTCAAATCAAAAGTTCAGGATTATAACTTTCTCTATTCTCTTTTCCAGTTGTTTAAAGTCATGGGAGTCATGGGAATTGTTTACTTATTACATCTATACTTTGATTATGATGGAGTAAGCAGTATTAAATTCACAAGTATTAAATTGACCTATTGGGTTATTTTGCATTTTTTATAATAAAAGAAATTGAAAATGGTATAAGTTAATAAGCAATCATGCCGCTTTTCTATAATATGTGGTGTAAGATCTTTGGAATTTGTAGAAAAATAGAATTATTTAATTCGACACATGGCGAAAGAACGCATATTTTAGTAATTCCTGTACATTAATCATGATATAGCTGAATGCTTCAAATGGTATAAAAGCTTTGACATTTCGTTTTGGCATTTTTAATTAATATAAGTTAATAGAAGCATTAATAGTAAGTAATCAAGGAATGAGGTGTTGAAGATACAATCTGTGCTGGCAAATTTAGCTTTTTTGGCTGAAGGGATAAAATTCTTAATGATATTAGTATTGAGTACTAAACAGTTTCGACACATGGTTGAAGTAATTGCAATTTTTGAATTTAGTTGGAGTTAAATTGAAGTAATTGCAATTTTTGAATTTCTTTCCTCCCATAACTCTAAAAAGTATATTTTCGGAAAACAGTTTATTACTGAGTTAGTGCAAAATGACGTTTTAATGGATGTATTTATAAGATTGAAGAAGCTTTTCACTATCTTATCCTCATCTGTCCGATGTTCTAAAATGCAAATTACTGAAGAATGCAGAAAAAGTTTTCCTAATGTACTAAAATTTTGTCTTATACTTTATGCTGCTGAATAATTCTAATTATATTCGAAACAGATAAGATTAATATTGTATGCACTTTTTGATGGATCCCTTGTCGTCTTGAATGTTCCGCACAACAGCCAGAAAATACATCAATGATATCATCGATATAACAGAATTCCGAGCCGACCACTTCATTAGCCTGGATTGCAAGACAGAAGTAATATGTAAATGTATACTTACATCGAACAAAATATTATACAAATTCCACTTATTCCCTTCTGTATTTTCTTCTCTCATTTTTCCCTCTTCACTTCTTTTCTCTTCCATCCTTACAAAATATGAGCAAACAAATGAAAAAAAAAAAAAAAAAAAAACCTTATATTGTTTCCAGAATAACAGTAAACCATTGTGACTCAATGATAAATGCACAAAACGTCCCTCGAACTGATCGATAATCTGACAGAAAAAAGCAAAAACAAAAATGAGATTAGCTTTAGATCAGATTAAATTAAATCAAACAAAACTAAATAATTGGCACATATGATTGGGAAGTTGGTATTTGAAAAACTGAAGAATAAACTTACACTGTCGAACTTGTAAACTTGTTCACCAGTGGTAAAGTAATCATCGATTAATTCCTGAGGATTTTTTATGCTTGGTAGTCGATGGATCGACATATCCTGTCTCTTCAGCAAATCTCCTCTTTATTCATATATTCATTTGCACTACTAATTTGATCTTCTTTTTCTTAATTTCACAACCTGAAAAAATAATTTGAAAGTAGAATTGACATATGCAAATGTCTTACAACGCTTATAACATAGGCAATAGCCTTTACCTTAGCGAGTTAAACATAAATGACAAGCATAATGTTAAGCCATAAAATATTTTTTCTAAAACACTCAGAAGAAACATTCCAAATCATTAACTTTAAAGAAAAATTATTATGATTAAATTTTCTTTTTTAGCTAAGCTTAAAGATATTAAAGTTTTCTATATAAAGGCATAAATGCATTACAGTAAAGTTGGTTGATGGTTATCGCGCAGATGTGTGAAGCGTAAAGTTTAAGTTTTATTTGATTTTGTTTTTAAATTATTCAATCTTATTTTTATTCGCTTTCAATGCAAACAATTTTACTTCCTCTCCGCAAACATTTTATTTTGAGAAAACTTGTTAAAAAATTTAAATAATTGATCATATCTGTCTGCCTATGGTTATCGTAAAAAGCATATCAATTGCAAGATTTGCTTAATTTGAGTCGGCGCAATCACTCATTCAATCCTCATATCTTCCTTGTCCGCCTCCTCTTAATTTACTCTTCAGATGAAATAATTGCGTGGCTTAAAATACGAACACTAAATAAGTCTATCTTGTTATTTTCACATAATTATTGTTCCAAATTAAAATTTCTTTCTCAATAGTTTCATTGACAATTTTTTTAGCTTGCAACTTGATTAATGCAAAGATTAATGGAAATTTAAACTGAGTTAAGCATTCAATTATAGGATGAATAGATGCAATTAGCAATCGAACATTCATAATTAAACTGGAGAATAAAGCTAAATTTGAACTTGCATAGAGGGAAGCAAAGAATCTTAAATAAAGAGCAATCGAATCAGCCGAGAAAGCATATTCCGAAAAGTACTTCTCCAAAATTTCATGCAAAATTTATGGGAGAAAGTGGATTTATGGGAGAAAATTGAATCAAAAAAGACACAAAAACAAAGGAAAGAAAAAGAATGAAAACCATTTGTTCTCAATGAAGTTAACATGGAAAGATATAAATTTTGGATACAACAATAGTTGAAGACGATACAGCATTTGTCTCCATTCATAATTTCACATATATAAAACTCACAGGTTATGAAATATATTAGGCATAAATGAGCAGTTAGTTTTGTCTACTCTTCGCTTAGTAGAGCCACAAATCAGTAAACTCGAGAATAAATATCAAATTTTCTCTTAAAATGCTTTTTGGCAAAATCCATCAGAAAACTTGATTTCGATAAGTGATGATAGCAAAGAACTGACTCATTCTTTATTTGTGGAAGTGTGGAGAAATGCACTCATATTGAATTTTAAACAAGTTGGAAAACTCTTAATATTGATTAGTAAAGGTTGAAGTTCGAACCATCAATTTTTAACTATATAAAGAATACAAAACAAAGGGTATTACCAGAAAGCTGGTCACTAATTTATGGGACATACTTTGTGATCACAGCATTGCAACATCATTTCAAGAAATGACTGACTTTCGATATTCAGTAAAACTGTACTTGACAGATGAAGCATGTTACTGAAAGAATAACGATGTTAAATTGTATGTCCGTTGCTTATTGCGGTTAGCTGTCTAAACGTTCGAAAAGTAGTGGTCGTTTTCATTTTAATTTTTAATCAATGTATTTTCATAACAAAGAAAAGATGGATGAGAAGGAAGAGAATAAACCTGAAATTTTATAGGTTTTTATAACCAAATATTACTGATAACGAATATCATCATGTATTTAATTCCTTATCATAATATGGAAATATGAAAAAGAAGAGAAACGGATAAAAAGTTAGTCGAATAAAATTATTAAATATGTTGATAATGAATATCAAGTATCACCATCATGTCAGTTTTCTTCATATTTTACAAACTGTACATTGGGAACTTAATTCTTTAGAATCAGAAAGCTAATAAATCTGGAAAAAAAGGATGCTTTTGCGCATGTGCTCAATGAACCAAAAGAAACGCAAACACTCATACAATTAATAGAAGCATCATGAAATGCACTTTATTGAATGATGCTAATTGAGTTGAATCATCAATAATAGTACATATTTCTGCTAACATCGCCATTATTATCTATGACAAAACCGGAAAAAACGGTAAATCAATTGTTCTGCTTGATAATAAATAATGCAAATATTACTGGGACAGATGATCATAGATCATCAAACAATAGAATTTGTGTGAACTTGACTAATATTTAATAACTGATAACTTTTTTGAAGCAAATGTGACAACAGCATAAAAATAGTTGTGGTGCTTTTCTAGGAGGAAAGGAATAGGTGAACTATTAAGCTCACAGCCTGCAGCTAATGTTTGTTGGCTTGAAAAGTTTACTATTCTTTATCGATAGAAAAAAATTCACCATGCTTTGCAGAAGAGACAAATCTTAATGCTTTAAACCACATCAATTCATAACGGTAATCGATACTAGTAGTAGTGGATGACACAGACAATGACACAATTACATTAAATTGAGTGAACATTATTGTGAATTGGTTATTGAATTGAATTATTAGAGCAAACAATGAATTTGAAGATTCTTTTCTCCCTGAAGATCAGTTTCCTTCCAGTAATTGGGTATCTCATATTCGGATAATTGCAAAGTTAAATTAATTTCAAGAAACATTTATTGATTCATCACTTTCACTTGTAGAACAATACTTTTGAAAGTTTATTTTCAAAGGATTAAATTTTTCTCTCAGCTCTGTGATGCCAAAATTTCGTTATACTGAGACAAAGGTAGAAGTAGAGGTGGAAGTAAAGGTAAAGATGATGACAGGAATAGAGATAAAGAAATGAACGAAGACAGTCGGATGAATATCCTGACATACTGCTGTACAAAACAAAATTAACTGAATGTCACGATAAGGCATTGACTCATCTGTCATCGATCGGTGGATCGATATTTTTGTACTTGAACAAAACAGGTGGTGGTCATTGGATAGGACTAACTCTAAATAGTCGTGGAAGAAGTGAAGCTAATCGATTGATCAGTATGAAGAATAAATGAATGAATAATGAATGCATGTTGATTCCGGACGAGGTGTCATCCAGTTGTCACCATGGGCGATGGTGATGGGACTGGTGCAAACCGATAGGACAAATACAAATCGATGGAGCAAAACAGTTTTATTTGAAGTAAAAAAGTAAAATGGTTCGAATGAAGACATATTGTTTGTGCAATTCAAAGGACAAAGATCAAATAATGCAAATTCACAAAAGGTTTTTTATTTTTTATTTTGAAAATTGTCCAATATCATGCAAACAGCATTACATTTCAGTTCCGACAAATTCCAATCAGCGATCAGCTGACCTCTGTAATCATTATTATCTTCTCCTTTCACACCATTTTTTCATTTAACACTGTGAAGTAGTCAGCACGAATTTTCATATTTATCTTTCCCGTCCCTAACCAATATTTTATTAATGTTAAAGCTTAACTATTATGTATATCAACTTTTATGCTACTATCAACATTTTCATCATTATTACGAGATTCGAAGAATATAACAAATGTTTTAGATAGAATAGATTTTATGTCTTTTAGAAAGAAGCTGTACTGAATGTTTCATCTTCATGGTTAATGGAAATGTTTTTCTCATGCCATTATTCCTCAAGCAATTTGTTCTTCCAAATGTTGAAAACGACAAGTTGATCATGAAATAGTCGATTTCATCGGTTAACTTTGTGAGCTAATTATACTAAAATTGGACCAAACTAATAATAGACTTAACTTATAGTGATAACATTTATGAATGAGTGATAAAATGATTAGAAAAATAAATGATAATTTAGGAGTACTTTAAAATCAGGAAAAGTTCACATAAATTTGCTTCATTGCATTGTTGCCTATTTGGATATTGACTATTTTATTCTAAAATTTGTCGTAAAATAAATTATGTTTACTGAATGTGCTTTTAAAAGCAGGAATCTCGTCATTGAATAAGTCACAACATCATTTTTGAAAAGGTGATAGGGAGGGCAATGGATTGTCTAAGAGTTCATTTCATTTTTGTTCATTTATTTTAAGTTATGTGGGAAAACATTCAGATTATTTGGTCTATCATTGGTAGTTCCAAATGCTATCAAAGCAGAGAAAATCTTTCTTAAAAAAAATTTTATTTAGCTTGCAGAAAGAATGTAAATAAATTAAGGAGAAAAACATTTCTCTTCCTTCTCAGTCCTGAAGTTATGTTCCTATTATTATTTAAACTTATTAAAACATAAGAATTGATTACTGCTAGCGATCGTCTAATCTGCAACACACAAAAGAGAAACAATAGTGAAAGGAATAAGAAATGCTTTCTAATTATGTCATTTAAGCTTTATAGAAGAAGTCAAATATTGTTTAGATGTTGAAGGGTCAAAGCAAGTAGTAAATAAATGTTCGAAATGCCTAACAAATAAGGAAACTTCAAAAAGTAAATTATAATCCGGAAACTAATTGGAAAAATTAATCTATGCAATGAAAGAAATGAGAAGTGCAAGGAGTCGAAATCAATTTCAAGTAGTTTTCAAATAGAATTCATTCCAAATTTCAATAAAATTGACTGAAAATAATGCAACAAAACAAAAAAAACTGCCATGCGATGAAGACCGAAGATAAGTGCAAAATGCAAAGTAAATATCACAGATTAAAAGACAAATAGAAATTTTAATGTCTTATCTGTCAATTCTTTATCAGCACTAAATTATTTCATTCATATCTCTTGTTACAGAATAATTGTTTTACTTTAGCAATTAGTATTTTCAATTCGCTAAATTTTCATTCTAGAAGATTTTCTTGAATCCTTTTGCTATTCATATTGCAAGCTTTTGTTTTTTGTTTTTTCCAAACTCTGCTTTTTTTTTTTTTTTTTTGTAAAATTAAAATGAAATGGGATAAGCTTGTTTTGTCAGCT